ACATTTCACTGGGGGAGTGATGATCAGGAAGATGTTTAAAAACACTCTTTAAGGTGTGATAATAACAAAGAGGTTGAGAAACACCACCAAAGTCTCAGCTCTGCCTTCCTCTCTTCTGGTCAAAACTTCGCTTTCAGCAAAAACTCTAAAATAGATGCCCTCTTAAGTTATAAGTGCCTGATAAAAGTTTAAAATAGCATCCATCAATCTAGGGGTATTTGTGCAAGTAACTCCGTGGGTATTTGCTCACTCACGGCACTGATGGCACCGTAAGACAAGACAGAATGAAGTTCTAGCTGTGGACCTGCAGGCCGGAGCAAGCAGAAGGGAGCTGCTTTCTGAAAAAACTCGGATTCACTGACTATGTTTTTAAATAAAAAACTTGCACACGCTGCCAAAAGATCTTTTAAATTGATTTTAGATGTAAGAAGCTTCTATTAGGTGTAATTTAGAAACAGAAAATTGCAACTTCTAGGACCACTTAATAGACATTGTGAATTCAGGATGATTCTGGTAACCCGAGGCCTTGTGATTACCTGGACGGAGTCCTTCTCAGTGTCCCTAAATCAGAGCTCCAGGTTTCGGTCAGTTTTACTTTGCAGAGGACAGTTGTCAGTGCTAGACTGATCTAGATGGAGGGGAAAGTTACCACGGCGTGCATAGGAGGAGAAAGGCTTTTTCAGTCTACATGGCCTCTTGCTGCTCTCCTAGAGGAAAAGGCAGCGGCCTCATGGACGCCTTCCTTGTGCGCATGCCAGCTGGATCCCGTGTGCCTGAGACACTGTAAAACGGTCCCGTGCCCATGAAGTCATCCTCCCACTGCTCTTGGCCTTGGCCAGAATCCTACTAGTGACCCACGTCCAGTTTTGGCTTTAAAAGTAAAAAAGAGATTGGGACAATTGGATTGGGTCGAATAAGATCAAATACAATGACTGAATGTTTGAAAAATAGATGTTATGCAAAATGCAGTTAGAACGGCTTAACTCGGACTAGGGCGGGCAGAGGAAGAGGTTATTTATATGGGGAAGAGTGAGAAACTTTTTTCTGCTTTTTTGGATGCAGATGGGGTATAAAAATATTCGTGCTTTATTTATTCCTCTCTGCTGAGAATCAAATAAAAGAAACTGGGCTTGATTTTGCAATACAGAGATGTAGGATGAATCCAAGTAAAAAAATCCCAGTACGTCATTAGACACTGGTCCTTAGGGCGCTTGGTTTTGTCTTTTTCTGGAAAATGTAGAAAAAGCAAGGCCCTGCAGGGATGGCTCTAGAGAGGAGCTAGTTAATACTTACTGAGAACCTGCGAACTGGGACCTTCGGGGGATCTTGCAGAAGCCAGAAAATGTACAGCCCTGTTTTCTGAAAGGTTCTGATTTTAGACTTAATTACTCTGGTTCTTTTCACTCCTGAAGGTTAACAGCATCACGGTGAAGTGAGCGGGAGGAGGCGAACCCTTGTCCTGCTTCGCTGCTCGCACACCTGCAGACCCTGCTGGCCACAGCTTCCTCACTCGCCTGGTGGTGATGACGACGGCCTTCCTTCTTAGTCACAGGTCATTAAGTGTGTCAGCTAAGATTAAAAAAATGCTGGCATTGGCCTATAGGCTGGTTGGTGCTACATGAACAGAGTGGCTTAGTCACTTGGATAAATCATTCTTTAGGCCTTGATCAGAGGTTCTCAGCTGGAAGTGTTGACTGAACCTGATTCCCAGGTTTGAACCTCAGAACCTGTGACATCGATCCACACAATCATCCTCCCGCCTGCCCGCCACGCACCAGGCAGTGTCTGCTGTGCAGCAGGAAGCGTAACGGGCACAGGGACACTCTGAGGAATCAGTTTCGGTGTGTGGCTTGTGGTGGGGGGGCGGATGTCCAGCAAGGGAGGGGTTCGGAGAAGCCAGCTGGCAGTTATGGTGCAGCACGGTATGGTACATACTGGGAAAAGGTGTTTTTGCCTCATTCAGGGGCCCCAGATCCAGCCGTTTCAGGGCAGAGGGGACTTTCCTAGAGGGAGCGAGTTGGGCTCATGAAGAATGAGTGAGGTGGGGAAGACCCTAGGCCCAGACTCAGAAGCAAAATGAAAGCCGGGTGAGCTTGGGGAGCTGCAGGCACAGTAAAAGATGTCACGGAATGCAGATCAGGAGCCCTGTCACAGGTCACAGCTGCTGTCTGCTGGCCGAGGGCTTCACCTCAGGACAACAGAGCCACTGGGGATTTAGGGATGGAGCATGATGGTCAGATTGAAATGCTAGACAGGCCACTCCCAGTGCCACCTGGAGGATGAGCTGAAGGGGCCGGACTCCCATGAAGACCAGTCAGGAGGCTGGTACAGATGTCCAGGAGTGGAGGCGCCCGCCTGGCAGAAGGTGGGGGTGACAGGAGTCGAATGAGGCGTTGGTACGGTGGGAACAAGAGGAGGAGGAAGCAGGAAGGACAGGAGATCAGAGCATGGGAGAGAAAGGTCTGGGGATGGCCAGGCCAGGTGTCGCCCTGACGAAGGACGCCTGAAGTGCCAGTGAACATCACGGATAGTGAGGTCAGGGACTTCCCTGAGCATCTTAAGACATTGTGGTGAAACACACAGAACACAAAACCTACCCCTGATCATCCGAAGTGTCTTGAATGGGGTAAGCAGTCGCACTGCCTCACCTGGGAGAAACTCTGTCACCGCGAAACACTAGCTCCCATCCCTGCCCCCCGGGCCTGGCCCCGTCACCCGCTTTCTGCTCTATGACTGTGGCTGTTTAAGGCCCTCATATGAATGGAGTCACACGGCACTTGTCCTCTTGTGATGGCTTCTCATTTAGTGCAATGTCCTCGAGGGTCACCCGACTTGTAGCCTGTGTCAGACTTTCTCTTCCTTTTAAGGCTGAACAGTGTTCTATTGTATGTGCTCTAACCCCTTTCACACTGTTGACTTTGGCCCACAATAAAATTGCATTTTATGTCATGACTTAGTACACACGTATGTATTATGTTACTGAAATATTGTATTATTAGTGTATATTATTCATATGATAATATGTGTATTATTGAGATAAACGTTTTACTCCTAAACTATCCCTCCTACATGTGAAGTACTCCGATATTTTATTTCTACTTTGTTTATTACAAAAAAAAATTCTATTCAGAATCCTCCAAATCAATCTCATGGCACACTAATAGGCTGTGATGCCCATGTTGTAAACAGTGGTCTGTCTGACACTGAAGTTACAGCAGGACTTGGTCTGAAGGGGAGACCAGGAGTCCATGCCAAAGTCGTCAATGCATAAGGAAGGCCTGAAACCCAGCTTCACGCCTTTATTTTCATGAATGGCCTGTAATTTGGGCACAGGCTATTAAGTAAAGGTCCAAACTATCAGTTTATTTCTGGTATAAATAGGGTAATTCATGAATTTGCTCCTTTTTCCAACAGTCGCCAGCTGGCATGGGTCTTTTGCTCTGATTTATTCCCTGCCAGTGACCACTCCTCTCCACTTGTCTATCCTGGGGAAGAACCAAGTAAACTGCCCCCCTATTTGACCTGGGAAAAGAGGAAGGGGTGGGAACTTGGGCAGTGGGTGACTCTGCAGGGCTTCCATGGCTCTGGCTGTGGCACTGCTGCAAGAACAACCCTGGGGAGGGGCCCTTCGGGGGCTGGGGGGACACTGGGGGTGTACCCGCCAGAAGAGAGCAGGTCCTGGGCCATGAACATTGGGGTCAGGCCTCCCACTGATGTCTGTGTCCTGGCAGGAGGAGGAGGACGGCTGGAGGTCGAGGTGGTCTCACCGTGGTCTCCTGGGTCACCACACTCCCAGCCGTCTCTGGAAATATTAAGTTCGGGAGAGCCTCACACACACACACCCCTCCATTAATCAGCTTATCTCTGTGGTGTCCCTAGAGGATGAGGTCAGAAAGATCACCATCCTGATAGTAATGAAAAAATCAGTGGGGAAGGGAGAGAAATTAGATGGAAACATTTTGGTAGACACCCTTTCTGTGCCATGCACTGCGTTCGCTGCTGAAGACGCACTGTGTACAGGAAGAAAGGACACCTGGGCTTCACCTGTTGGTCTTCAGAGGCAGCTGGACCACAGACACATGTCTGCTGGGCACTGAGGGGTCAGTCCTCCTCCATCCATTCCCCCTCCCTCCCCGGGACTCACTGTCCCTCCGGTAGGGGCCCTCAGAGGTGGAGTGGTGTGCTGTAGTAGCTTTGATGTCACATTTATGGGTTAGAATTTTGGCCCTGGCATTTTCTGCCTGGTAACCTCGGGCAAGGTTCTTAACTTTTCTGAGCCTCAGTCGAATGGGACGCTAATAACCACCGAGCAGGATTGTTGGAACCATTAAGCCTGGCTTGTAGGCTTTTGTCAGAACTGGGAGGAGGGGCTGTTACTACCAGGGAGCTTCTGCAGTGTTATCCCAGGGTCCTGCCCTGCTGGAGGCCCTGCAGAGATGACCCCTGAACAATGAAGACCCTTGTGTGGGATCCTGGGGCTCACAGCATTGCCTCAGGGCATCCTGTCCCAGTGAATTGCCTCCTTCAGCAGTGGCACCCTCCCCGGATGGGCCAACCAATGGGCTGCAGATCAAAAATAGCTCCAATGAATGGAACTTGGGTCCCAGGAAGCCCACAGCCAGCCCTGAGCATGGAATTTCAGGGAGGGAGGGCTTCCCGGGGTCTGGCAGCCACCCGCATCCTAACCCCAAGCAGACACTCCAAGTGGAAATCTTTGAAAACCTTGAGCACACCGAGCAAGCTCTCGCTGAGTGCTGCGGAAAGATCGGCCCCCATCCCCAAAGAGCAGAATAACCCAGAGACAAGGTCTTGGAGCTGAGAAGAAAAGAGGCAACTTTATTGCTTTGCTGGGCAAGGGGGACTCACAGCAGGCTAGTGCCTTCAACACTGTGAACCCCCTTGGGGATGGGTGGGGAGGTTATACAGCCAGAGCTCAAACAATAAAGCATCCTTAACAAGCAGCAGAACCATTTTCTCATCAGAAGACTCAGCATGGCGTCATGATGCCTCCAGGCGACCAGTTAGCAGTTAGATCTCTTTATCTCCTAAGCACTCAAGGTGTGGTCTTCTTGGTAATTTAGGCTATTTTGTAAGGTTACAGTCCTGTGACCTTCTCCTTGGAGAAGGGCTCAGAGACCAAGCTTGATTATGACTTTCAATGACTGGAATAAAGTAGAAACAGTAAGATCAATAGCCTTAGTTTTAACAACGGGCCTGGAACCATGAGTAGCAACCGGTCAGTCCGGTTAGTTGACCGTTTAAAGGGTGAGCATAAGAATAAGCAACATGTTAGCCTAAGTGTGGCCATTTTGTTAATCCTCCTTCGTGAGGACACCAAACTTCCTTTACCCAACCCGCCTGAAAGAGCTCCCCAGACAGGACCAGCCACACAGTCCCACAAGCCTTCCCTGCTGTCCTGGCTAAATGCCGATAAGCTCAGAAATCCTATTCTTCAAGCTGAATCCACTTCTCACCTCTAGATCCTTTCTGAGGTTTTGCAGTCCCGCCTCGGTTGAGCGGGGAGCGGGGTGGATGGGGCTAAGGCCCATCCATCCGACAGTCTGGGGAGGTGCCAGCAGCCAGCACGCTGACCTAGGATGGGGTGGGGGTGACACCTGGGGACGCATGTGCTGTCTTCCTGGCAGTTCAGAGAACCTAGTGTTAAGGAGAGCCTCAGGGGAGAGGGTGTCAGATGCAGGGCTGACAGCCGGGTGAGTGGGGACGGCAGAGGGAGTCACTTGGTCATCTTACCTCCCTGGTGGAGAAGTGGTCCTTCACTGGGGCCAAGGGGTCCCTGCCATTTGTTCACTACCAAATACTCATGACCACCTCACTGGGTTTGGAGTCGGCAATACAGAAATAAAACACACAGCTCTCCACCCGGAAGGAGTTAATGGTGTGAGCGAAAAATACTGCAAACCACATCAGTAAACAAAGAATGCTGAAGCCATCAAG